TATATATATATAGTCATGGGACGTGGAGTATAGTGTGGGAGTGGAGTCAAGGGATTTGTAATAGATATGTATGATATTTGGGGGAAATGGGGCGGCGGATTGGGGGAGGGGGGTTGTCACTTCGAGGGGTAAACAGTATAACTATTGCACTGTGTTGTACAGCTGAGACTAATTCTAAAAAATGTGTATTTCATAATAAAAAATAATTTTAAAAAAAAAGTCAAAATGTTTCTTCTTATTTGGTCTAAGACCCATTCTGTTAAAAACAAAAACAAAACCACGTGCTTACCGTCAATGAATAAAATTACCTAAAACACAATCTTGACTGATATCAAATTATATTAACGTTTCAAAAATCGATCTGGTCATCCTAATGGCAAAACGGGAGCAAACTGGCATTATGGTAGCAGTTGTCACCATCCTAGAGTATCGCTGAAACATAAAACTTGGTCACGTCCAGACTCTGGGGTACCAGAAAGTAAAGGTCTAGAGACTGAGATCATTTTGTGACCCATAATCAACGTTAATCAATTACAAATAAAAAGGAGAGAATAAAATTGCACCACTTTTCTTTCACCTTACTTCACTCAAACTAAGAATCAATTCCAGCTGACACCAGTTTATTCTACCACCTCTGAGCCTCAGTTTCCTTCTGTGTAAAACGAAGCTAACAGTACCCGCTTCATAGAGGAGTGTACGAAATAGGAATGTATGTAAAGTAGCACAACACCTGACACACAGCTAATGCTCTATGCATGATAGGTTTCATAATGCATAGTAAGCTGCAATGCCTCCATTATTTTCCTGCAGGCATCAGTGTGTCTTAGGATGCCAATCCCCCAAAATACTCAACATCCAAGACTTCTCTGGAGAACCAAGTTATGCTGTTCAAGGCACTTAAGACCAAAGCAGGTACGGAACCCTGACAACCACCAAAGTCGAGGCTCAGCTGTCACCACATCCGCCAAGGCCCCGAAGCCCTTCTATGGGCTCCCCACCACGGGCGCCCAGCCCCACCCGGAGCACGCCAACCAGCGGAGTGAGGGGGCGGTCTCGACAGCGCGCCCTTCGCGCTCCAGGGAGGCCAGGCCGCGCTCCAGGACTCCGCCAGCCTGACCCCCACTTCCCGGTCCTAAGCCTTCCCTCGCCCACGCCTGCGGCCCTCCCTCCCCGTCCCGCCCCACGCCGCACCTTGAGGTGGGTGCGCAGGCCGCCAGCGCCCCCAGACTGGTCGGTGATCTCGTACGCGCCCGTCACCAGCAGGTCCTTATGAATCTCCTCGCGGAGGCACTTGCGGGAGTTAACCGGCAGATGGAAGGAGATGGCGAAGACCGAGCTGGGACCAAGCAGGAATAAAAGCAGCAACGCTAACTGACAAGGGCCACGCCGGGCTGGTGGGCCAGACAAACCAGACATGGTGCCGGAGACTTGTTCGCCACCCCCGGCCTCCACCGCGCCGGAACCGGGAGCACCCACGTGATTCACCTCTGGCCTACCAATGCTGCCGGCGCCATTTTGGAGACTGGCAAATAGAAGAAGACTACATAGTACATTTTTTGAAAGGGAAGAAAGGATATGATACCACGTCACACCCACAAGTTAGCGTGGTTAAATAAGATTTTTTTTTTAGAAGTTTTCCGCAAAACTTTTATTTTTGTTGAGTTCGGTAACTGCCCAGTCGGCCATAGCAAGTAAGGGCAACCCTGGAAGTAATTCTCCTTTAACTGGCGGAAGCAGTGCCAGTAAGTTTTATGGTAGGTGATACCATAGCAACCAAGCCCCAATAGGAAACAGCCACAAGGGCCATCGCTGGGCCATCCGGCAGCTACGGAGGCGCGCGGGGCTGGGGCGGAAGTGGAGGGTGCTCAGTCCCCGAGCCTTGCCCCCTTGTATGACAACTGGGACGTTGAGCACTTAGAAAACTTCGAGGGGCTGAGCGGAAAGATTTTAATTTATCTATGAGGCGAGCGGGGGTCAGTACCTGAGAGAAGGTGTGGACTTCACCCGGTGAATGTGAGCTGGGCAGGCGGCCAATTCATGCTCCCCAGCAGGGTATTTGGACTGGAGTATCTGTTTGCTTACTAAATGTGCATCTTATTTAGCAAACATTGAGCGCCTGCTATGCTAGGTAATATTCAAACTAAATTTGGATTTTGTATTTAAATTGAATAAAATACTGTGTTTTAGTCCAGTCTGAGAGATGGACCTAATGCCGTTTACCAGACTTGAAGCATTGTCAAGGGAAGGCAACTATTTGTGTGTTTTAAATGCAAAACCATTTTAGGGATGAAACTGACTAGTCTACAGTAAGCAGATTTACACGGTAATCATTCATGCTTTCGTTGAACAAGTATTGGGTTGTCGGAAAAGTCATGACGTATTTTTTCTATGTTTTTCGTTGCAAAAATGCATCATGACTTTTCCAACAACCCAATATTTATTGAGTACTTACTATGTGCTAGACACTGTACCAACCATGTATGCCAACATGTTTATTGATTTAACAGACTTCCATTGGGATGCTATCAAATATTCAGGGCTGGAGAAAATACGAAGATGAAAAAGGAACACACGGCACCCTGGAATCATCTACTTTGATTAATGTTTATTGAGCATCTACAGAAATACCCAGAAGATGGACCCAGCATATTAGAATTTGACAAATGCCATGTAATAATTATTTTATGAGGTGTCCACTTAGGAACACTTAGTTTGATTATTTTATCCCTGATCTAAGATAAGATTGCTAGTCTACTCAGCACATCCTGATAATTTGCTCTGGCCTTTTCCTTGCAAGATAGGGAATCAGTACCAAGAAGTTATCTAATTCATTGTTTACTCTCAGCCCTGAGGCTCTGGCTGACTGACCATGAGCAAGAGATTTGTGATCCATAAAATAGCTGTGTGGGCTTTTTTCCTTCAAATTGCTATCTTACATTTATATAATAGCTCTACATTTTAAAACGTTTTCACGTATATTATCATATGACACTTCCCAAAACCGTGTGACATAAACTGGGCAAGTTCTTCATCTCACAGATAAGTAAACTGAGGTTTTGAGAGGCCAAAAAACTTCTGAGAGGCCCAAAGTCCCATAGTTTAAAAGTGACAAAGTCAGTCTGAGGGCCTGAGCCTTCTTCAGGAAGGTGCTATTATTTATTATTTACAGATGAGGAAACTGAGACTTAGAGAAATTATGTTACTTTCCTAAATCACACCTCTCAAATCCTTTCTTGTCCTAGAGTCTCCCTTATCCTAGCTCCTAACTCTTTCCTGTCCCTCCTTTATTATATTTTTCCACTTAGCACTCACCACTATCTAATACAACTTATCTAATTTTACTTATTTAGCATATTTATGAACCTGTTTCCCTAACTACGATATCTGTTTTGTGAGGGGCAGGGATTTTTGTCTATTTTGTTCACTGCTTTATCTTCTCAATCTAAAATAGTGCCTGGCACTTAGAAGGCAAAATAAATATTGGTTCAATGAATACCAGGTTTCTTCCTTAGCTCCTAGCAAAAGGCCTAACAGCAAATTCCTTACATTATTCCTTAGCTATTTTCACACAAATTTATTTAATCCACAATGTAAAGAGTAGATACCATTTCAGTTTCACCGACAACATGCGTATCTTGTATTTGAATTGAAAAATGTGTTCTTGTTTCCATATAAAGACACAGAAAAAGAAATATTCTTTCCTCTATGTGGAACTAGAGGGCAGAGTGGATACTCCTAGGGAACCCAACCTTGTTTTCTTTTTCTTTTTTTTAAATTGGGGAACAGTGTGTTTTTCCAGGACCCATCAGCTCCAAGTCAAGTAGTTATTTCAATCTAGTTGTGGAGGGCGCAGCTCAGCGGCCCATGTGGAGATCAAACTGGTAACGTTGGTGGTGTGAGCACTGCGCTCTAACCACCTGAGCTAACCGGCCGCCCCGGGAACCCAAACTTTTAAATTGCATCTGCATTAAAAAAGGTACCATGTTACATCTGTGTGGGGAAAAGGCCTCATTCTGAATTGGAGAGCAAATGGAAAGCGTCCCACAACTAGAGAAAATATTTCTTCTTGGCCTAACAGTCCTCTGCCATCCCCTCATCCTGAAACTTCCCCAGTCAGGCCCACCTAAGATTCCTGAGGCCCCCATGAGCCTCTGGAGGTGAAGAGATGCCACAAGGATACACCCTCAACCTAGTCTACCCCTAAACCACAGGTTTCTCAACCTTTCTTTTATATGAGAAGGAGCGTGTTTAAAACACATCTCACCCCAGACAGTGAACCTGAAGCTCTTATTAAAAATCTGCATTTGTAATAAACTGCCTGTGCAATTCTGTGGTTGTGAGTCGTTGGATGCATTTCCCGCCCTCTCAGCGCCTCCTTAACCAGCCTAATCCTCTGGTGTGGCTTGAGGCTCCCCAGCTGCAATGCAAAAGCAGTAAAGGACTCCTAACTCTGGTGTTCCTGTGCATTGACCTGTCAATTCCATTCAGTTGTGTATTTAAACAGCTAAAACAAGATCGGTTCTGTGAAGATACAAAAGACCCTTTTGGAAAGCAATTGGGCAATATTTGTCATGTGTCATACGTTTTGACCCAGAGAGTGATTCCAAGGACCTCTTCTATGGGTCCTCTAAGTTCCAGAGTGCCCCAGGACCTGGTCCTTGAGCCTCTGTCTGCACTCTGGGTGATCTCATCCAGTCCCATGACTTTAATTGCATCCATAGGCCGGTAACTCCCAAATGTGGATCTCCAGCCTTGACCTCTCCCCTAAATTCCAAAGCCTGTATCAGGGTCCCTACTTGACATCTCCATTTGAATGACTAATAGGCAACTCATACTTAACTCTTAATTTCCCCTCTCCCCCAATTCTCAAATCTGCTGCTTCCCCATCTCAGTAGATTACACCACCTCCTAATTCTTCACTGAGGCCATCCTTGTTTCCTCTTCCTCTTACCCACTTCCCACACAAAGCCAGTTCATCAGCAGGTCCTTCCAGTCCTGTGTCCTAAATTTATGGCCTTCAGTTTCTACTTCTCTCCAAGCTAGGGGTCGACAAACTACTGTCGAGCTAGGCAGGCCAAATCTAGCATACAATCTCCTGTTTTTGTATCACCTAAGAGCTAAGAATGATTTTTACATTTTTTACAAGGTTGTTAAAAAAGAAGAAAGAGGAAGAACAGGACAAAGGGAAGGAGAAGAATGTCCCAAAGAGAGCTTATGTGGCTCACCAAACGTAAACTATTTACTATCTAACTCTTTACAGAAAATGTTTGCTTCTTTCACCCAGGCAAGACAACAGCCTCCATACTGATGTCTGTGCTTCCATTTGCCCCACTGTAATGCTCCTTAATATACTTTGAGTGATTTTTTAAAAATATAAATTAGATCAATCAGAATAAAGTCCAAATACCTTAGCACAACCCAAAATGCCACTGTGGTCTGTCTTCTCCTACATCTAACTTCATTTTCCCCAAGGATCACTTCCTCCAACCACACCCACCCATTCACTGTCCTGGTCTTCCAATCAGCTTAAACTGTCTGCATCAGGGCCTTTGCACTTACTGTCTACCTGGAGCTCTCCCTCTCCAGATCTTGTCCCATGGACTTTGGACTCTGCAGACTGCGCCTCATCATTCAGTTCCCAACTCCAATGTCACCTCCAAGAAAGCCCACCCTGCATAAGTAACCCTGTTCCCAGTTACTTTCTATCATGTGATGTGGTTTTATTATCTACAATATAAACACTTGTCACTATTTGAGAGTATCTCGTTATTTCTTTTCTTGTTTATTATCACCCAGCCCCACTGGAATTTTATCTCTAAGAGAGCAATGTGTTTATTTTGTGCCTGGTAGATCTCTGAGGCCAGGAATAATATTCTATACATAGTGGGTGTTCAAAAATATTTGCTAAGTGAATGAATGAAATAATACAACATAATATAAAGCACTTAGCACACCAACATATAGCAGTTTCTTAATAACTGCTAGTTCCTCTATCTAGTGTTTTAATTGTCATCTTTCATATGGAGAAGCTGAGGTCCAAAGCTGTTAAGTGACTTTCCTCAAGCCATACTATGAGTCAGTGTTAGAGCGGAGAATAGATATGAGAGCTTCTAACTGCAGACTAGTTTTCAGACATAATTGTCATTACATTTGCTAAAACATGGTACTTATTACTTAGTTTCCACTCTGCTAAGAAGTTTAAGATTCCTGGATAGTGTTTTTCTGCCCTCACTTATATTCATAGTACAACTTTTGTGGGTTTTATGTAAATTTAAGCCTTCCAGAACATCCACACAGAGGTTAATAGTTAATGTGAAACTTGTAGCTGCTACTAGCATCACCCCTCAATTCACTTTGCTTGAGAAACAAGTTTATCTTCCTCTCCAGATTCCCATGGTGCTAAATTTTTATCTTCCTAGGTGGGAAACATGAACCCTCTCACCAACTCTCCATGACAATTAATATCCTTCATCAATGT